CATATGGATACATTTTGTAACTGGAAAACCCACATAGAAAAAATATGTAATAAACTTAACCGCTTTGTTTACATATTACGGAACCTTAGAAAGACGGCATCGCAATCAACAGCTCTTATGGCGTATTACGGATACGTTTATTGTATACTTAGCTACGGTATAATAATATGGGGAAATTCTGTAGACATCAATAAAGTTTTCATTGCGCAAAAAAATGTCTACGTGCAATATATAATATGGCCCCACATGAATCGTGCAAACCAATATTTATAAATTTAAAAGTGTTAACACTTCCTTGCATATACATCCTTGAAACAGCAAAATTTGTGAAAAATAATTCTGAGCTGTTTACAACTGCTGGAGATATTATCAAGTCCAAACCCTTAAGGAATCCAGATAAATTAGTCATTGATAAAATACCAAAAACAGTAAATTATCATAGAAATTGCTATGCAATGTGCATGAAAGTGTTTAACGCAATACCCAATAATATAAAATTACTACCAAGGAAGCGTTTCGGGAACGAGTTGAAAAAGTGGCTTGTTAATAAATCTTTTTATTCGGTTAGCGAGTTGTTGGAAAAACAATAATTATCTTTATTTTTTTTTAATAATAATATTTTGGTAATTATATATTATAATGTGACATGAAATTATAAATATTAATGATATGATAATGCAAATAGTAGTAAATGTTTTTTTTTTAATAAGGTCACATTATTTTTTGTTTTTGCTATTTCTTATGCAATGTACGTATTTTTTTTTGTAATTTTTCATAAATTCATAATGTCATACTTAATGTTTATAAAATTCAATAATTTTGTACACCAGAAATGGTTAATGTGTTGTACTATATTTTCTATAACAACTGTAAAACACACACATTATGCAAAATAAATAAATAAATAAATAAAATAAAATAAGATATGAGAAAAATTTTTAAAATTAATATTGAAGACCTATTATTTTAACGCAAAAAAAGTCTTTTCAAATGATAGTGAAGTAAAAAACATAATTTTTAATTTAAGATGGAAAATAAAGTGTCTCAAATATCACCTAACGTACTTACATACAAAAAATATAATCGAATTGAGAACTTGTGTTTTTAGTCGGCAAAAAACAACTGGTTTACATTCAGTTTTTACTGATATTATTTATACAAGAGGGACGACAAACGAGCATACGGCTCACATACTGGTAAGTGATTATGGCCGCCCATGAACAACTGCAACACTACAACTTGCAAGTGCATTGCAGACCTTTTAAAAAAAGTAGACTTTTTTCTTAAAGATAAAGTCGGAAAAATCGCTGATGGTATTCGATTCCACAAAATACTTGTGCTAGGAATAAAACTCCTGGTAAATCGCACAGGGCTGAACCGCCAATGATCCAGATAGTATGAATGGTACTGCGAGTTTTGTCTCAAAGTGCGATGGTCGTTAGCGGCTGGGATTAGTTAGAACAAAGATGCTTCTGGTTGGCGAGCAATTTACAATATAATTGTTGCGCGCCACAATTAATACCACTAGCGCCCTCTAGTATCGCGTAGCAGAACTAGGAGAGTCAAGATCCTTCTAGAAATTTCGGGACTGATATGTACTCGAACATACTAGATGTTTCTACAATAGAAGGTTCTGGAAACTATCAGGGGCCCTATATAAGGCCGGTATAGACCACGACCGAGTCAATATTGAATTGGCGATATAAGCGAATACTCCGAAGCGATACAACTGCGAACTTAAGTTATCAGTAGAACAATTGTGATTTATTATTAGGTGGTCTTAAGTTGTAATTAGTGTTCTGTAATTAAAGTGTCAATTTTGGTAATTTACTCGGCAGTTTTAGTTGTCTCGGACTTGAATAATTATATGTAATGAGGTGTATATAATGTATATATGAAAGAAAGAAAGAAAGGAACATTTATTGAAACACGCCAGACATAATTAAATTTTAACATTTGTACACACAATTAATAAAACTTAAAAAAATAACAACAAATTGTAATGTGTTTTTGTTTCAACTTTATGATCGTAAGGTTACCACTGAAAATCTTAGAATGTCACATCTTAGTATATCCCGAGCGGCAGTCCTATATGGACCATTTCCCATAAAACAAATTTTTAAGATTGGCTATTCGCATTTTTTTATTTATTTTTCCTTGTAAGTGTATATACTTAGCTATATACGAGTACACTGGTCATAAACTTACTAATATAATGTTATATTGAGTTGTCAGTGACATTAGACATGCATTTATTGAGCAACTTGCACTCATACAGTTTGATACAGAAAATAAAAATTGTACATGAAAACATCAAAGACCAAAATAAATAAGTGAAAATTTAAAATAATCAGATTGCACGAGTGGTTCGATGCTGAAAAAGGCACTAACTCAACGTAATGCACGGTTGCGAAGTGTGTCTTTCACCAATGCCCATCGAGCATCGAGGTTGGACTCGCTATAACAAATCAAGAAACCGTGTAGTGGCGGTGTAAGAATATCCACTACCCCATATCGTCGCGTGGGTGTCGTAAGAGGCGACAGAGGGAAATTGATGACGAAACAGGTGATCATAAGAACAGAACATTATAAAAACCGCGGTTGCCAACCCGCCTGCCAAGCGTGGCAACTATGGCAAAATCCCCCCTCCACCCCCTATGAGGCAAACTATGGGGGAGGCCTATTTGCAGCAGTGGACTTTCATCGCCTGTAATGGATGGAATAAATTACATTATAAGTATGTACAATAAAACATAATAAAGATATTTACGAGTATACGCCTTCCTTTCTTTGTTGTTTGTAATTGTTTGTGGCAGCAGCCCGGTGAGCGGCGTGGTGACACTGGTGGGGTGCGAGCTGCTGTGCGGCATCCACCGCGTCACCTCCAGCATCAACACGCACTACGTCGCGCCGCTGGCCTCGCTCGACGCCTACACCGACAACGAGACCCCGCTGCAGGCGCAACCGGGTGAGTAGTTTATTCTAGCAACATAGGCCATCGGACTTTGTCGTCACTCTGAACACTAGAAACCACTACCCTGTATGAAGATATACGTGGTAGAGCCACGTTGCAGCTATATTAATAGTATAGTTGTAGCACGAATGGGTCGGCTCGACCGGGGAAGGACCACGCTCTCACAGAATACCAGCGTAAAATAGCAGCTTAACACTGTTGTGTTTCGTATGGTGAGTGTAGAGAACCGGAGACCCTTTTAACTGGAATCGAGGCATTCCATCTTAGTCCTCACGGGTGACAACGCATCTGCATATTGATTCTTAATCGAAGATAGATGTAGATGTCTATGGGCTACAGCAACCACTTACCATCAAGTGGAATGTGTGCTCGTTTGTCACCCTTATCCTATAAAAAGAAAAGATAAGGGGCAGTAGTCTAAAAGCGACTATAGCCTACAGGCAGAGTGTGGACATCGAGCTTAAAAAGTCGTGGGTTCTAATCCGTCATCCGACAAGCATTTTAACCTTAAAAGTGATTAATGGGAATATTAGTATTGTTAATATGTCTTTTTTTAAAATGAAAAAGAAAGAACAATTTGGAATGATGAATGAACGGTGACGACTTTTTACTGCTGTCGGAAGTTTTTACACTCCAAATGCGTGTGTAATAATATTTTAAACTCATGCAAACACTCGACTTACATACCCTTGCCTGATATTAAGCTTATGTGATTAAATAAGGCTTGTTCTCTTGCCTAGGAGTCGATCTAGGTAGATTCGTTTTTTGACCTATTTACAGAGCCAACTCTGCTGTGTACCTCTGGTGGTCTAAAGTATGTGGAAAGCCAGTGTAATGACAGCCTGTGAGGCATTCCATGTTGGTCCTCGGAGGTGACTACTCATATACATAGTAATAATAATAATAAATATCTTTACATACATTGCAACAAAGAAATTGTTTGAAGTAGATTGTAGTTAAATATGTGCTTCAGCATGTGTTCACCATCAGGTGGACAGTAAGTTGCTTTATAAGATCAATTTTATAAAACATGTAATTGCATAAGATCTATGAGAAGGTGTACAGTCACTTGTTGTAGTAGTAGGACTTCTTTATACCTAGGACTCGATAAGGTTCTACCTTCGTACCTATTTCTGCAGCAGTCCGCACACCGCTGTGTGCCGGTCTGAAACGTATAGAGAGCTAGTCCAATTACATGCTGTGAGGCTTTCCATCTGAGTGCTCAGATGTGACCACGCATATACAGCCCTCTTTATTTGGAGTTGGTTGCAGGTGGCCATAGACTGCACTGCAATTACTTACCATCAGGTGGACTGTTAATTAAATTCTTACTTCAGTTTTATTAAAAAATAGTTATGTAAGAAGTGTACCCGTTAAATTAGCAATTTTAAAGTAAATAAAACTTATTTAATAAGTTAAAGCAATTTATAAAAATACAAAAAGCTTTTTTGTATATTTATTTACCACAATTTTAAAGTAAATAAAATTTATTCAATAAGTGAAAACAATTTATAAAAATACAAAAAGTCTTTTTGTATTTTTATTTGCCACAATTTTAAAGTAATAAAACTTATTCAATGAGTTAAAACAATTTATAAAAATACAAAAAGTCTTTTTGTATTTTTATTTGCCACAATTTTAAAGTAAATAAAATTTATTCAATAAGTTAAAACAATTTATAAAAATACAAAAACTCTTTTTTTGTATTTATATTTGCCACATTTATCTTATGTACGTACGTTGTGGAAATTCGGACAGTTAAGAAGTTAGTAAGCAACTTCTGACGTCTGTCAAATTGGAGGTTCCTTTTGTCTATGAAATGTTTAACGGTTGATTTCGACACATAGCGTTTAAATCGTCCTCTAGGCGCCCACATGACTATGAATTCCAGTGTTAATCAAGCATAAGATGAAGGTGTTAATGGGTTACAATTTATACGTATATCATCAGGAGTACATATGCTGTCTTATTTGTATAGCTATCTATATGCTTTGTTTGTTATAAACCTAGATTTCAAAAATACTTGATGCTGTGTACAGAATCCCAGTCTTCAGAGTCTGGCCGGCTGCAGCCAACGAGTCTGTTCACGCGAGCCAACGCCCAGTCCTCTGCTGAGATACTCAGGAAGTACCTCCTCGGCGGAGTTGCTTGGAGATGTCTTGCGCTGTTAAGAGTTTTAGGGGTGGAGGTGAGTGTGATTAAAATTGTTTGATTGAATGCACCTGTGCTTGCACTCGGGCACTATAAAGGTGTTATAGATGTGCCAACTCGGAAGAATTACGACTCGAGTTAACTCAAGTTGAAATTCACGTAACTCGAGTTTAAACTCGAGTTACTCAATTTGAGTTAGCAGTACGAACCAGAGTAAATGATTTGTTACAAATTACTTTTTTATAAATTTATTTTTCTATCTAGTTCTTTGGTAGGGTGGGATAACTATAATTACCAAAGTTATTATGTTGGATTGAAATAAAAAGGTATATAGTATCACATACGAAACACAGCAGCATTAAGCTGCTATTTTACTTAGGTATTCTGTGAGAATTTTGCCGTGTAGTGGCGGCTAAGAATATCCAGGGAGAGGGAAACAGGCAGGAGATGGGCAGCAGCATCTTCCTGATAACAGCAAAAATACAATAAAAAAAATTGCGGTTGCCAACCCGCTCGCCAAGTGTGGCAACTATGGCAAATACCCCCCTATGAATGAATGTAATAAAGAGACGGCCCCCAGTCCCCGGCGGCCCCGCTATTCCTGGCTACGGTGGCGACCATGGTAACGGCGGGGTCGGGGGTGCTAAGAATCTCCGGTGGAGGTTCGGTTGCCACCTACGACGACTCAACCTGGCAACATACAACGCACGCACCCTGAGGACTGACGAGAAGATTGTGGAGCTGGAAGAAGAGATAGACAAGTTACGCTGGCATGTTATAGAATTATCCGAAGTCCGAAGAGAGGGAGAGGACACGGTGATCCTCGAATCCGGCAATTTGTTATATAACCGGGAGGGCGACCATCTGTCCCAAGGAGGTGTCGGACTTATCGTCCACAAGTCTCTCGTTAACAACGTTGTAAATATTGAGAGTGTGTCGACGAGGGTTGCGTACCTTATACTCAGAATCACCAAACGGTATTCGCTGAAGGTCATACAGGTTTACGCACCAACCTCGGCACACCCCGATGAGGAGGTGGAGGAAATGTATGAGGATATCTCTAGAGTCATGCATTCTTCCAAAACCCAATATACGGTATTAATGGGAGACTTCAATGCAAAACTAGGCACAAGAGAGAATTTCCGGGGCACTTGAGATTTTGAGTGAGATTGAGAGTTTCTATGGGCAGCTGTACACGTCATCGTTGGAGCCACATGCAAGTGTGAGTAACGATCCAAGACCGAGTCTTATCCGACATTATTCCGATGATATCCCGAACGTCAGTCTGAGCGAGATTAGAATCGCTCTTCAGCACCTTAAAAACGGCAAGGCCCCAGGCGAGGATGGAATTACAGCGGAGCTTCTGAAAGCGGGTGGAAAACCGGTACTTGAAGTCCTTCAGAAGCTCTTTAGTTCCGTCCTCCATGGTGGCATTACACCGGAGGCGTGGAGCAGAAGTGCGGTGGTCTTGTTCTTCAAGAAAGGCGACTACGCTCTCTTGAAGTACTACAGACCGATTTCCCTTCTGAGCCGCGTCTACGTGCTGTTTTCGAGAGTCATTACGAATCGTCTCGCGCGCAGACTTGACGACTTCCAGCCTCCCGAACAAACCAGTTTCCGAAAAGGCTTTAGCACCATAGACCACATACATACCCTTCGGCAAATTGTACAGAAGTCAGAGGAGTACAATTTGCCACTATGTCTGGCGTATGTGGATTATGAGAAAGCCTTTGATTCCGTCGAAATTTGAGCGGTGCTGCAGTCCCTTCAGCGGTGCCAAGTTGACTGTTGGTATATCAAAGTGCTGAAGTGCTTGTACAGTAGGGCTACGATGGCTATCCGAGTACGAAACCAGAGTACGAAACCTATCCAATTGCAGAGAGGTGTAAGACAGGGTGACGTCATATCCCCGAAACTCTTTACTGCTGCATTGGAAGATGTTTTCAAGCTTCTGGACTGGAAAGCATACGGTATCAACATCAATGGCGAGTACATCACTCACCTTCGATTTGCCGACGATATAGTCCTTATGGCAGAATCGCTGGAGGACCTAAGCACTATGCTCAATGACCTCAATAGTGTTTCCCAACGGATAGGTCTTAACATGAACATGGACAAAACAAAGATCATGTTTAATGTTCATGTCACACCTATGCCGGTAGTTGTTGGGAACACTAAGCTCGAAGTTGTTGACGAGTATGTTTACCTGGGACAAATAGTCCGACTAGGTAAGTCCAACTTCGACCGAGAGGTCAATCGACGAATTCAACTCGGTTGGGCAGCGTTCGGGAAATTACTGCACATCTTCTCGTCAGATATACCTCAAAACTTGAAAACGAGACTGTACACCCAGTGCGTGTTGCCAGTGATGACATACGGAACTGAGACGTGGTCCTTCACTGCTGGCCGTATGAGGAGGCTCAAGGTCGCTCAGTGAGCTATGGAGAGGGCTATGCTCGGAGTTTCTCTGCGTGATAAACTCAGAAATGAGGATATCCGCAGTAGAACCAGAGTGACCGACATAGCCCAACGGATTAGTAAGCTGAAGTGGCAATGGGCCGGCCATATAGCTCGAAGAACCGACAACCGATGGGGAAAAAAGGTTCTCGAGTGGCAGCCTCGTACCGGCAGGCGAAGTGTTGAGCGTCCCCCCACTAGATGGAGTGACGACCTGGTAAGATATGCAGGAAGTCATTCCTTGGGGGAGGCCTATGTTCAGCAGTGGACTTGTGAATGGCTGTAATGATGATGATGATTCTGTGATTCTCTCTACCAAGAAATTCAAAATATTTATTGTAAGTTAAGTGTTACACTTAGCGTCAATTTAAAATATTGTGTATCTTATAACTTAACCACCCTTCTTTGGGTATTACAATAATAGGTCTGTGACTTTCATAATTATATTGATCATAATTAATCAAAATTATAAAATAATTAATAGAATCAGGCGTTACTTTGCGGAAATCCATTATATAAAAGCTTTTACAAAAATTTACTTCGCAAATATCCGCGTTATAAAATAAAATGATGTGTCTTACCTAGTATGAAGAGCACCTCCCGCCCTCCCTCAATTGCGTGCACTATCCCCGTCACCACTAATCCCAGCACCGCTACTCCCAACACCACTACACTAGGCAAGACACACCACTGACTATAATACGACACGTGTTTCGCCTCTACACGATACACTTATAAAAGAAATTAAATTACATAACATAGCTTTTTTTTTTTTTTTTTTTTATAGGAGAGGGGGCAAACGAGCATGCGGCTCACCTGATGGTAAGTGACTACCGCCGCCCATGAACAACCGCAACACCAGGGGAATTGCAGATGCGTTGCCGGCCTTTTAAAAAGGAGTAGGCTCTTTTCTTGAAGGTCCCTAAGTCGTATCGGTCCGGAAAAATCGCTGGTGGTAAACTATTCCACAAGGAAGTTGTGCGAGGAAGAAAACATCTTCTAAATCGCACAGTGGTGGACCGCCAATCATCCAGATGGTGTGGATGGTATCGGGAGTTCTGCCGCGATGTGCGTTCGTGAAATTTGGCGGCTGGGATTAATCCGAACAATTCCTCAGAGCACTCCCCATGGTAGATGCGAAAGAAAATGCAAAGAGATGCAACATCTCTTCGCAGTGCCAATGAATCGAGCCGATCGGAAAGGGCTCGGTCGTCGACGATTCGAGCCGCTCTGCGCTGGATGCGGTCAAGTGGAAGGAGCTGGCACTGGGGAGCCCCTGCCCAGAGATGGGAACAGTATTCCATGTGAGGCCGAACCTGCGCCTTGTAAAGTTGCAGGCGGTGTGCCGGCATGAAATACTGTCCCGCTCTGCTGAGCACGCCAAGCTTTTTAGAGGCCAATTTGGCCTTCTCTTCCAAGTGACCACGAAACTGCACGTCACTCGATATGTCGACTCCGAGGATACCGATACTGGCTGAGGCAAGAAGGGGAGTGCCTTGAAACTGAGGAGATACGACAAAGGGGTTCTTTTTAGCGGTAAACGCGCAAACTTGTGTCTTCTGAGGATTAAACTGGACTAGATTTAGTCGCCCCCAATCCGAGACTTTGTCCAGCAAAGACTCGACTTCAGACACAAGTTTGTTCCGGTACTCGGCGACGTTTTCCCGAGAAATATTGCCCCGGCCGGTGTATAGAGCATCACCAGTGCTGTCATCCGCATAGCAATGAATGTTACCAGTTACCAACATATCATTGATATGCAGAAGAAACAGCGTTGGTGATAGCACACAGCCTTGTGGAACACCAGCGTTAATAGGCTTGTAGTCAGAACATGCACCGTCTACAACGACCTTGATGCTCCGATCTGCAAGAAAGCTGGTGATCCAATTGCACAATTTCTCGGGAAGCCCATAGGAAGGCAGCTTTGAAAGAAGCGCTTTGTGCCAAACCCGATCAAAGGCCTTCGCAATGTCCAGACTAACGGCCAACGCCTCCCCCTTGGACTCTACTGCCTCCGCCCATCTATGGGTCAGGTAGACCAGAAGATCACCAGCTGATCGACCCCGACGAAAACCGTATTGGCGGTCACTAATCAGCTGGTGATCCTCAAGGTACCGGATGAGCTGGCAGTTAATAATGGATTCCATTATTTTGGAGAACAAGGAGGTGATCGCGATAGGCCTATAGTTGGACGGGTCTGAGCGGTCGCCTTTTTTTGGGATCGGGTGGACAAAAGCTGTCTTCCATGAATTCGGGACTACGCCTTGGGAGTAGGAGTACCGGAAAAGACGCGTTAGGACCGGTGCCAACTCCGGAGCACACGTCCTCAGCACAATTGGGGGGATTCCGTCAGGCCCACTCGACTTCTGGATGTCCAGGGAGAGAAGTGCTTTGCGAACTGAGCGCTGTGAGAATAGCACATACGGCATGGAGCACTCACACCGCGGGATGGTCGGCGGTATTTTCCCCCCGTCATCAAGAGTCGAGTTGGACGCGAAAAGGGAGCCTAAAAGGTCGGCTTTGTCTTTTGCGTCTTGGGCCAGTGAGTCGTCCTCCCTGTGCAGAGATGGTAGTGATGGC